GTGCCTGAAGGTGAGAATGGAAGGTGAGAGCTGGGTACTGGCTGGGCCATCATTCGAATAGCAATGCATGTGCTGAGTTATGCTTGCACAGAGGAATCTCTTGTGTTTCCTCTACCTCAGGACAGAGTAGTTTCCCAGTACATTCTTTCTGGGCACCTGTTTCCTGTGTCTTAGTCACTGAACCAAACATACTGTCCTTTTTCTGTTGAAATTTTAGGTGACCAAAAAGGGAGCATAAGGTTGGTGAGGCCAAGAAAATTTGTCTTTATTTCTTCATTTAAAAAAATTTTGTTATTTAAAAAATCTTTTAATGTATTTTCTTATTTTAATTGTTTACAGAAGAAAGCTCTGCAACAAGAAAGTCTGTTTTTAGAAAGTGAGAATGCCGACCATGCGTGGTGGCTATAACCTCAGGACTTTGGGAAGCTGAGGTGGGCAGATAACCTGAAGTCAGGAGTTCGAGACCAGCCTGGCCAACATGGTGAAACCCCACCTCTAACTAAAAGTACGAAAATTAGCCAGGCATGGTGATGGGCACCTGTAATCCCGGCTACCTGGGAGACTGAGGCCGGAGAATTGCTTAAACCTGGGAGGCGGAAGTTGCAGTGAGCTGCGATGGCACCACTGCACTTCAGTATGGGCAACAAGAGCAAAACTCCGTCTCAAAAAAAAAAAGAAAGAAAGTGAGAATGCCTTCCTCTATCTCTTCACTTCCCTTGCAATGTCTACTGCTTCCTTAAAACTGCCTTATCCATTTGAATAATCTATATATCAGCAGACAAATACATCTCTCTGGCTTTTTTATAATGCTGCATGTGTTAAAGTATCAGATTTGTGTCATTCCCCTGACATGATAACACATCCTTGTCTGGATACCTCCAGATCCACTCCCATTTGCTGGGGTTTCAACCAACACCATTTTACAAGCAGGGAGGATAAAAATGAACAGTCACCTCCTGTACTTCTCCCTCCCCCCTTGAACTGAAAGGGGCTTGCATTTGGATTGCATAAGTACGCTAGTATTCCCATTCATAAAATATGGGGTCTTCTGAATTAGAGGAATTATGCTACAACTTCAGATTTCTTTTTTTTTCTTTTTGGAGACGGAGTTTCGCCCTTGTTGCCCAGGTTGGAGTGCAATGGCGCGATCTCGGCTCACCGCAACCTCCGCCTCCTGGGCTCAGGCAATTCTCCTGCCTCAGCCTCCTGAGTAGCTGGGACTACAGGCACGCGCCACCATGCCCAGCTAATTTTTTGTATTTTTAGTAGAGACGGGGTTTCACCATGTTGACCAGGATGGTCTCGATCTCTCGACCTCATGATCCACCCGCCTCGGCCTCCCAAAGTGCTGGGATTACAGGCTTGAGCCACCGCGCCCGGCACAACTTCAGATTTCTAAAAAATTACACTAAAACAAAAACATGTCCTATAGTCTAAAAATGCTCCTTCTCCACTGATCGTTCCAGCAGTTACAAGCTTACATTTGGCAAACTTAAAAGATGTTAAACCCACTTCATTTCTTTTTTTTAACCTACAATTTTTTTCTATAAAATTTTGTTTAATTTTCCTTTTCCTCCTCCCTCCCTTCTTTTCTTCATCAGAATTTGAGCTGAGGTTTCAAATGCTTCACTTTAGTGCTGGGTCTGCAACAACGTGATGTTTTCTATTTTCATCCTTTTACTTTCAGCCATGCAGGCACTGCCAAGGATGTGCCCTTTCTGCTTACCCTGGCAGGTCTTCCCTGCCTGGTGCTTTTCCTGGCAGGCTCTGCTAGAATGCTTTCTTTAGTAAAGGAGGCAAATGGAACCAGGATGTAAAGACCACAGAATGCTGTTTCTCCTTCTGCCCATCTCTTTCTCCTCATCCTCCATTCAAATATTACTTGAGCACCTGCTGGTGCCAGGCCCAGGAGAGGAATGAAACGAGGCACTAGGCAAGCAACAATACAAAAACTGTCCTTGCTCTCAAGGTACTGCCCTCTGTGACCTCAGGCAAACTAAACTCTTCTCAATTCACACGGTAACATATGAGGAAACTAAGTCAGATTATTTCTTAAAAACTTCTGTTTAATAGCTATGATTTTTAAGTTATTTTAATGGATAATCTCCTCCTATTTACTCTACCCTGAACAATTTCTCCTTACATTTAACATGCTTCTGGTCCTTATTCTTCGATCAATTGGTATGTGTTCCAAGACTATGAAGGTATTTAAATATCAAAGCAAATACTTTTTTTGTAATTACGACGTGAAGTCCTATAAATTCATTAAGAATGATGTTCACAAAAGCGGTTCATGACATAGGAAAAGATACATACTGTAATGCCAAGTGAAAAAAACAGAGTCAGGGAAGAGAGGTGGAACACTAGGTATTATTTGTTAACGCCAACATTTTAATAGTAGTTACCCTTGAATTGTAGGATTATAAATGTTTAAATGTTTCTACTTCAATTTTTCAAAATAAGGCATACCATAATCATTTATATAACAAAATAAGTAAAGTTATGTTTAAATATACAGAAGTGATTGTTTTTGCAGCAAAAATTTCAGTATGTATGCCAAAGCCAGATGCAAATAATTTTAAAAATATGCTTTGCTTTGAGTTTGACAAACCTGTCTATTACATTAATTTTTTTCTGGCTTCTAAGCTTATATAATTGATCACATTCTGGTACCTTTTCGAGAGATGACAATCTTAAAATATTTACTTTAGAAAAATCTGAGGGCACTGAGAAGAGAAAGGAAAGGACTTGTAAAATTTCTTCATCTGTCAAAAATGCAAGGCTTTATTTAGGAGCTGCATTTATTAGGAAAGGTGAAAGTGTAGGTCACTGAGAGGTTATTTCAGGAAAAGCCTCTGCAGATGATTTCGTCACTTCAAACAGGTGCCAAGATATGTTTGTTCAAGCACAATTTGGGATATCAGATCACAAACTCAGGGAGGCCACAAATGCCAATTGGTACAAGTAAAATACCTAAAAGATAAGACACTTCCTCCACGTTATGAAAGGTTAAAAAAAAATCCTTATGAAATAACAAAAAAATCTGGCTACCACTTGGTGTGACCGACACCCATCCACTCTCCATATTGGAGAAGGGGCAGGAAAAATAAATGTAGAAACAGCCAGTAGCTGAGAGAGAGAACTACTTTGGTTTCTGAGAAAGCTGTGAGAGAAGGTATTTGACCTTTTCTAGCTCATCACCTACAGGTCAATATTTCCAACAAGTCATTTTGTAACTTGTCATTCCAAAACTGAGAGGCTAAAAAGAAGACTGTACTGTCAACCACACACTTGGACCTCCAGAAGATGTGGACAAAAGTTCACATCTCAGTCACAGGGGTTAAGGAGATAGAAACAGGGGAAAATGTACTTTCTGTCAGCTCATTTGGCCTTGGGAACTAATGCCAAATTTCTTTTTAACTTTTAATTTTAAATTTTTGTTAAGTACATAGTAGGAGTATGTATTTATGGAGTATATGAGAAAGTTTGATACAGGCATAGAATGTGTAATAATCACATCAGGGTAAATGGGGTATCCAGCCCCTCAAGCATTTATCCTTTGTATAATAAACAATCCAATTATAATACTCTTTTAGTTATTTTAAAATGTATAATCAAGCAAGATTTCTTATTGAGCCATGCTACTCAAAGTGTGATCATCTGACACTGGCATCCCTAGAAGCTTATTAGAAATGCAGAATCCGGGTTGGATGTCATGGCTCATGCCTGTATCCCAGTACTTTGGGAGGCTGAGGCTGCTGGATCACTTGAGGTCAGAGTTCGAGACCAGCCTGGCCAATATAGTGAAACCCTGTCTCTACTAAAAATACAAAAATTGCTGGGCATGGTGGCACACACCTGTAATCCCAGCTATTTGAGAGAGGCTGAGGCAAGAGAATTGCTTGAACCAGGGAGGTGGAGGTTGCAGTGAGCCAGGATTGCACCACTGCACTCCAACTTGGGTGACAGAGAGAGACTCTAAAAAAAGATAAATAAATAAAATAAGATGGGTGCAGTGGCTTATGCCTGTACTCCCAGCACTTGGGGAGGCTGAGGGCCATCCTTGCCTTGAGAAAATTTTTCTTCCTCAATAACTGACCAGATTCTAGTGCCACAGATTACATCACGGATTTAACAGTATCTGGCAAACATAAACATCAATTTATCCTTGATCTTGAGGGAAAAAGGAGACAGTATTTTGAGGGAAAACTTCAGAACTTCAGACAAACTCAAAACAACAAAGTGCTTTTTTTTTTTTTTTTTTTTTTTTGAGACAGAGTCTTGCTTTGTTGCCAGGAGCCAGGCTGAAGTGCAGCGGTGCGATCTCGGCTCACTGCAACCTCCGCCTCCCAGGTTCAAGCAATTCTCCTTCCTCAGCCTCCCCAGTAGCTGGAATTACAGGTGCATGCCATCATGCCCAGCTAATTTTTATATTTTTTAGTAGAGATGGGGTTTCACCATGTTGGCCAGGATGGTCTTGATCTCTTGACCTCGTGATCCGCCCACGTTGGCCTCCCAAAGTGCTGGGATTACAGGCATGGGCCACCTTGCCCAGCCAACAAAGTGCTTTTATGATTATGATTTTTTTTTTTGAGATGGAGTCTCACTCTGTTGCCCAGGCTGGAGTGCAATGGCACGATGTCAGTTCACTGCAACCTCTGCCTCCAGGGTTCAAGAAATTCTCCTGCCTCAGCCTCCCAAGTAGCTGGGATTAGGCATCTACTACGATGCCCGGCTAATTTTTGTATTTTTAGTAGAGATGAGGTTTTATCATGTTGGCCAGGCTAGTGTCAAGCTCCTGACCTCAAGCGATCCACCTGTCTCGGCCTCCCAATGTACTAGGATTACAGGCATGAGCCACCAAGTCCAACCGCTTTTATGATTTTATTCCTGAAGAAGGTTTTAAGCATCCTATAAACATTTGGATTACGCAAACGATAGAGGCAGAGGGGATCTGAAGCTGGATCTCGGTGGGCTCCTCTTTGAAAGTTCACTCTTACCTGATTGTCGAATCCGTTGAAGAGTTTGCTGCACCAATACCTCCGACCTGGGGACGATGATGATGAAGTCTACTTTGCTGAAGTGACCGAGGTCTAGGCTCTGGCTGCCACTGTCTGCTATAGCACACACCTGGGATAAGAGTTTTCTGGCAACTGTTAGCTGCGGTTGATAAATTTGGAAGGTTTCGCTATCTAAATCTACAATTTAAAAAGAAGTCATAAGAACAAGGTTAATTTACTTCCATAATGGCCACTGTGAATCTCTGTGAGGACACATACCACACACAAGGTAATGTAATGCTATCTCACTAAGAATTCTCACCTGCTATTTGCACTCTCTATTGAGTTTTAATAGATTTGCCTATTTTCCCTGAAACGTGGATGAAAGGATGTGCTTAGGAGTGGACGTGGCAGTTTTGCAAATGTATTATTTTAGAAGTGATTGGTTATCTCACAAATGCCTAATTCAACACCCCCTATCCCATCCAGAAGTGGAGGAGACAGACTACACTCTCGGAGCCGGTGCTGGGACTCAGCTATGGAAGAGGAAGTGTTTCCAGTTTTCTTTAGGAATATCAGCACCGGCCAGTGCCCTAGCCCCGACCCAGTTCAAGGAAAGAAAGGTTGCTGTAATGATCATGATGCTGAGTTCCTTTGAGCTTTTCTGGATAGCACTATAGTAAACATTTCCTCTTCAGCAAGTCAGTTGCAACATGGTTGGAAATTCCCTTCCCAGCAACTACACAACATGGGTCATGGAAACACGACTTTCACCTTTCTTCCCACTCTATTCCACTTTGCCAGTGCTGTGACCTGGCAGGTCTAGGTGGTTGTGGCCAGCTCCAGGCTGATGGCTGGACTATCTGAAGACACCTGACTCATGACATAGCCAGCTGGCCACTCAGCAGGTGACGTATTACAAAAACATTGCCCAGATACTCTAGCAGGTCAGTAACTTTTTATTGCAAGTATATCAAGCAATCAATCTTTCTTATACGTGCATCAGCATCCACACACATGAAACAAGTTTAGTCAGCTAAATAGGTGAGCAGGCAACATCCAATGCTTCTTTAAAGCACTGCTTTTTATCAGGAACCCATGTGGCAGTTTAACTGCAACAGGGCCTAATTAACCCATGCTAATTAATGTTTTCTAAAATCAAATGCAGCTGAGGCAAAGACAGTCATCAACATATCCTGGTTATCACGGCCACTGACAGCAAGTGGAGATTTATATGTACAGTCTCCCTAGTGGTTAAGAGAACCCACTGGAAAAGCCCAAAGCTGGAACTTTCAGTAGAAGCCCAAACAGTCTTTGTACCACAGACTGCTAATCAAAACACATCTGTCTTTTGATATAGGCTGTTATTTCCTTCATTTTACAGGTTGGATGGGTGGGGACTAAATATACATATAACTTTGTAGAATTTTACTTAGCAAGTTTTGAAGCTTGAGGAAATAAAAAGATGTCTTTAAAAGTGTTTTTTAAACAGGGAACTAAGAATGTACTTGGGATAAGAATGTTTAAATTCTAAATGTGTTAACAATTCAAAAGTTAATATAAACACATTTTAGATCATATGGATGATCACTTAATTACCAAATACCATTGAGAAGTCAAAACATTTTATTGCCCGTATTTACATTTGTTTTTACAACAGAGCTGACTGCCAAGCCATGCTACTTTTATTGCTTGAGACAATCCTAATATATAAATGATGCATTCCTATCAAGTAGGGGCCAAGAGGCTGTCAGCAGCAGCTTATATGGGTCTGTTTCCCATCTATCCTTTCTCCGGTTCTTTTTTCTGTTCTGTCCTATGCCATTCCTGTCAATCAGTGAACTGGGGAAGGACTGAAACCCAAATGAATCCAGTCTAACGACTGGACTCCTCATCCCTGACAGTCCCCCTTTGAGCCCCTGAAGCTTGTTGTAGGGCAGATGACATGCTAGTAGCGCTGCTCTGTCTCCCAGGAAAGCCTCACTATCCCTTAGAAAATGTGTGTTTTACAGGTCAGAGAGTAAGTGAAGGAGCAGGAGCTGGGGCCCCTGCACTGCCTGTAGTCTGACTCTTTCAGACAGTTTTTTGAAATCCTCTGGGCGCAGATGGTGGAGCTAAGGAAGAAGCACCAATGTCCTGGAATCTTTCAGAGAAAAAAGAGAGAATGCTTAAGATAAAGTCTTTGATTTTCATTCCAGAAGACTTTTACTAGGAACAAGGCCTTTGATCCAGGCCACATGGGAAAGCATTTTTAATTTGAACCAGGTTTATCATGTAGACAATCAGGAAAAGGCTGTTATGGTCTGTGAATTCAAGAATCCTCAAAACCCTCAGAATGACTTAGTTTTTACAATGTCTGTCCTAAGGACTAACTTCCTCCTTTTGGTCTGAGATGACATTACCCAGGTTTTGTGTGGGCATCATAGCAGCAGCCTCCTGAGGTGACACGCATTCATTAAGGTCTCCATTGAAAGGGATAACCACACTGTCTCCTCTTCGTTGTTGCATTTTTTCCAACAGCTTGTCTAGGTCATCTCCTGTTACAAAATAAGGTAGTGATAAGAAGGTTTCAAGGAAGGATATGTTTATTTCGTTTTTATCTGTCTCTGAGTTGGGGAGTTAGGCTGTTCTCAGTAGATTTGTTGGTCAGCCAGCAATTCATATCAGCATTTACACTTGGCCACCTTTATAGTATAGCGGTGTCTCTATAACAAGAACTACTCTCATTGATATAGTGCTTACAATTTACATGCTTTCATATGTTGTATCTCTTTTGACCTTTCTAATACTCAAAAGCAGGCAGAATGGAATTAGAAAACTGAGTTCCAGGCTGGGTGCAGTGGCTCACGCCTGTAATCCCATTACTTTGCAAGGCCAAGGCACAGGAGGATCGCTTGAGGCCAGGAACTGGAGTCCAGTTTGGGCAACAAAGGGAGACCCTGTCTGTACAAAAAATTTAAAAATTAGCCAGGGATGGTGGCACATGTCTGTAGTCCCAGCTGCTTGGGAGGCTGAAGTGGGAGGATCACTTGAGCCAGTAGAGGGGGGGTGGTGTCAAGCAGTAAGCTATGATCACACCACTGTACTCCAGCCTGGGCGACAGAGCAAGACCCTGTCAAAAAAAAAAAAAAAAAAGGAAGGAAGGGAGAAAGGGAGGGAAGGAGGAAGGAAAGAAAAGGAAGGAAAGAAAAGAAAGGGAAGGAAGGAACAAATGAACAAACCGAGTTCCAGGGAGAGAGAAACTTGCCCAAAGTCACTCAATAAGGTCACGGCTAAGCTGAGACTTTTGAATCCAGTACCAATGTTCCTTCCTCTAGAGCCCCTTACTGCTTCCGTGGTGTTAGTGACAAAATACTTAGGATAAACTATTTCAAATGAAAGATCAGCTGGCAAGCTTGAGCTCCACACTCATCTTCTTGACAGGCTAAGATTTAAATTCGGAAAATCACACAACCAGGGGCTGGCATTGTTGCCAAATCTCACAACCACTCACCTAATGATGTGGTTTTGAAATGTGATGCCAGGAAACTGACCTTTCCTGTGATAAGCTCATAACTAATTTCTTTTAAAAACTCACTTGTGGTGAGCATGCTCTCTGCCAGAGCTCGGGACTGGTGCGGACCTGCAGAATGGAGAGAAGAGATGACTCATCAACAGAACAAAGGTTGCTGGAACATCACTTACAATGGCAACAATTGGGAACAATCAAAGGATGTCACTACGGTGACTTGGGTTAAGAAAATTATTACACATCAAAAGGTGTGGACAATTACACAGCATTTGAAGCATCAATTCTGACCCTAGACAGAAATAGAAATGTTTATAATACAAGACGATCAAGGAAAAAAAAATGATGTACCTTATGTTTGTACCTGAAAATATACACATGCTTGTGTTTAATGACTAAGGAAGGTCCCTGTCCCGCCCAGGGGCTGTGGGCAACACCATGGCTGCCCCAGGGCTTGCCAATTGCATAGATGCCCAGGGGTGGAGAACATGGGGAAAAAAAGACTAGGGAAGAGTAAGAAAAATCTTTTTTTTTTTTTTTTTTTTTTTTTGAGACGGAGTTTCGCTCTTGTTACCCAGGCTGGGGTGCAATGGCGCAATCTCGGCTCACCGCAACCTCCGCCTCCTGGGTTCAGGCAATTCTCCTGCCTCAGCCTCCTGAGTAGCTGGGATTACAGGCACGTGCGACCATGCCCAGCTAATTTTTTGTATTTTTAGTAGAGACGGGGTTTCACCATGTTGACCAGGATGGTCTCGATCTCTCAACCTCGTGATCCACCCACCTCGGCCTCCCAAAGTGCTGGGATTACAGGCTTGAGCCACCGCGCCCGGCCGAGTATGAAAAATCTTATAAAGATTGTGCTTGCATGGTTATAATGAATATTTGCCTTAAAAATATAAACATGTTTTTTACAAATAAAAATGAAAAAATACTGATGTATCACACTGATGAAGCTTTCTGGAAATACATGTAGCATAGAAAGATGGGCAGACAGGATTTGCCAAAGTGAGGAGGTTTTCTTAGCCTCTTTGCTCAGAAGAGGTGGGAGCCATTCGGTACAGACAGAAGTAAAATGAAATTCAAATGGCTACCCAGGAGGGTGCCTGATAGAAAATCTGTACAGCAGAGGGAAAAAAGTCCCCTCCCACCCCTCAATTTTGTAATGTACCAACTTTCTGAATCTTTTCTTTAGGATCAATGTTACAATATTAAATAGACTATTCAGTGAGAAGCAGAATATATGAGCTACCCTTCTGGCAAATTTGATTAACTGGCTTAGGCCACCTGTGGCACTAGCTTTATCACATGCTAGAGTGGTAACATTTCCAAAACCTTTAAAGGACAGCAGTTACATAAGACAGGGGTATCTGTTACTAGGGAGAGCTTTGAAATAATGCTCCCACAACCAGCTGACAGGGGCACCAGCCAAACTGAGGGCTATGAAAACCTCATCTGAGAAGGAAAGGGAAGGTTAAAATTAGGAGGATGAGCCCAAGCCGGAGCAATTATTCAGAGGTTGATTATGTGGATGCCTGAAACACACAATACACATTTTAAAATGGACAAATGATTGAATGAATTGATTAAGCAAAAACAACAACAAAAAATTACTCACCTAACACTACCACACAAAATTCATTTCCTCTGATTTTCGATGCACAAATTGCCACCACATAATCTGGTAGCCTTTGATAGTGTCTCATTTCACTGAGAGTCCTGAGAGTCTCTGAAATACCCTCCGCCAAAGAGTTCTGGGTCACAATCACATGAACCAAGTCTTGAGATACGCTGGCAATTAATCTAGCAAGCCAAGGGAGTTGTCCTGGTGACACAGGGACACACTGAGCACCTAACTGCAGGGCTCTTTCTCTCAGAGTAAATTCTTGCATAGCTTTCAGCATAATTTGCTCAAATTCTTCCCTGAGAGGTATCTGATCAGGACCTATATTGAAGAGAATTACAACTGCAATTTAAAGAATCACAGGTAGGAGAGAGACACACACCCACACGCCATCCTGCGGTCCTCAGCCCTTCAAACATACTCCAACTAGAAAATAACCTCTTGTTCTTGGAGTGGTCACAAGTATAGAGTCCCTACTAATCATTTACTGCTGTGAAATTATTTTTCTTTCTGCCTCAATTTTTTAAAAAACATCAAGCTTCTGTTCTTCTTTATTGTATTCCTGATCTCTTTAAAAGAGAATGTACTAAGAGAAACCATTAATTCCACTGTATGCCCTGAGAGCTGGTCGTTGCACATGGCGTATTTCTTGACCTATTAAGCTTGGCATTACGGAAATTGTTGAGGCCTAATAAAAAAAGAAGCCAACCTACTGGTGTGTAACCAATTTTAAGTTTCATTAAGTTCTCATTTTATTCATAGGCATTTTGAAAAACATTTTAATGTATAGCCTCTATGCCTAATTTTGAGAATACTGTGCATCAGAAAATGAAGTTTAATTATTTTTCACTTCCAAGTTATATTTGAGGCAGCCTCACACTTTTCCCAGATAGAGAATACTTTCATGATCTAGTTACTCTCCAGCATTCTGGATTGTTAAATATGCTATTTGGCACTCTTCTGCTGCCAGTTAGGGCTAAGCTTATACTGCTGAACTGTGGCTCCTAGAAGCAGGGGGATTTTGTTTCTTATTCTCTTTAGAAACTCAACCAGTCTTTAGAAAAAAATAAGCAAGTCAATGTTTGGTATCCAAGTGACACAAATGAACTAAGATTTCAACATTTAGTTTAAACTGAAAGCAGTGAGAGTATAGTTACTCCCTCTATTCAATCATTTCTTTTGCTTTGTGAACCCAAGATTTGAAACTCAGGCTCCCATAAACCAGCTCAGACTCCTCAGTGTCTGTGATCTGAGACCAAGCAACAGCCCCAGAACCCAGGGCTAAAAGTGCCTTGAAGAAGAACAAAGGGGTGATCAGCTGGACTTCTGCATGAGAAGGAGGCCCTGCAAGTGAGTCAGAACCATTCCCTCCTCTAATAGAGATCTAAGTGGCCTCTCTGGCCCTTCCCATCTTTTCTGGGAAAGCAGAAAAATAAGGTGTTTAGTAATGCTTTTTAGACATGGAAAATTAAATAAAATCTTATACATTATAAAAAACAAACAATTTTAGGTCAGGCACGGTGGCTTATGCGTGTAATCCCTCACTTTGGGAGGCCAAGGTGGGCAGATCATGAGGTCAGGAGCTTGAGACCAGGCTGACCAATGTGGTTAAACCTTGTCTCTAATAAAAATACAAAAATTAGCCAGGCATGGTGGTGCACGCCTGTAATCCCAGCTACTCAGGAGGCTGAGGCAAGAGAATTGCTTGAACCCGGTAGCAGAGGTTGCAGTGAGCCAAGATGGCACCACTACACTCCAGCCTGAGCGACTGAGTGAGACTCCGTCTCAGAGAAAAAAAAAAAAAGCTGGGCACGGTGCCTCACACCTATAATCCCAGCACTTTGGGAGGCAAAGCAGGCAGATCACAAAGTCAGGAGATCAAGACCATCCTGGCTAACACGGTGAAATCCTGATTCTGTTAAAAATACAAAAAATTAGGCAGGTGTGGTGGTACACACCTGTAGTCCCAGCTACTTGGGAGGCTGAGGCAGGAGAATCGCTTGAACCTAGGAGGCAGAGGTTGCAGCGAGCCGAGATTGCACCACTGCACTTCAGCCTGGCATCAGAGTGAGGCTCCGTTAAAAAAAAAAAAAATTAACTGGAGAAAATAGTTTTTCCATGATTGGTTGGAGGCCAGGGAGTGGTAGGAGAGTGGAATTCTCATAAACAGATTTTTCTCCTTTAAACATGGAAACAGGACAAGAAAATGGTAATGTATACATTGTATTATGTCTGTGATTCTTCTGTGCTGCTGCTTTTTTGAGACAGTTTCCCTGTCACCCAGGCTGGAGTCCAGTGGCGCGATCTTGGCTCACTGCAACCTCCACCACCTAGGCTCAAGTAATTCTCCTGCCTCAGCCTTTGGAGTATCTGGGATTACAGCTATGCGCCAACATGCCCTGCTAATTTTTGTATTTTTGCTACAGATAGAGTTTCACCATGTTGGCCAGGATGCTCTCAAACTCCTGACCTCTAGTATCCACCCTACTCAGCCTCCCAAAGTGTTGGGATTACAGGCATGAGCCACTGAGCCTGGCCTCTTCTGTCCTTCTCAATCACTTCCTGACAATGTGGAGGGATGATTTTTAAACAAAATCACCTAGGAACCTCCAAGACGTCTGATCTTCATTCAGCTTTATTAAATTGACATCATGGTTAATTGTCACTAGGTACACACTTTTCAGTGAGCTCAAAGTGGATAGAAGCTGGTCATCTATTTAAAGCTTTCCTCCACCAGAACATGACAGCTGAAAAGCAGATGGCCCTGGCTGTCTCCAATTCCCTACTGCCTTTCATTAACAACCTCAAAGTTCAGGGACCTGGTTAATAGTCCATAAGACTCACTTCAGGACCAAGTAACATTTTCTATCAGGAAGCATAATTCAAAATACAAAGGCATTCTGGGAAAATAAATTTACCAAACATGTTCACAACATCCCTTGTTGCCTTAAAACTCACTTTTATAGAGTTTTGACTGATGTACCATTAGGAATCAAGAAGTGGGGGAAAGATATTAAAGTTTAAATGAGGTAAGAAACTTCTTAGAGCAAAATGTCTTGCTTTCAAAAATCAACTATCACTTATTCATCCTCAGCCTTTTTAATTTATTTTTTATTTTATTTTATTTTTATTTTAATTAGAGACAAGATCTCACTCTGTCTGCCAGGCTGGAGTGCAGTGGCACAAGCATAGCTCATCGCATCTTTGAACTCCTGGTTTGAAGTGATCCTCCTGCTTCAGCCTCCCAAATTGCTGGGATTACAAGCGTAAGCCACCACACCCTGTGCCTCATCCTCAGCCTTTACAATTTCATTGCAGGCGTCTCTTCACTTTTGCAAGCTTAATAACAGTAATCTTCTCCTTCAAGTGCTGATCTCCAGTAACTCAGGTTAGTCAAGGTATCAGTTTTAATGGCTTTTCAGGCAGAACTACCTTAATAGGAAAAGTCAAGGTTTAAACAGACTCAGAGCCCTCCAAGAATCTCTGGATTTGCTGATTTCATTATCTACTTCAAAAGATTTTCAGATTGTGAAATAACTGAGATTTTTTTAAAGTGACTGTAGTGAAGATGATATGTTCCTTCTGAAGAATCTTGCTTTTCTTCTTTTCTGTTACCTCTAAGCAACTGAGCCGCTAAAGTATTGAAACTGTCCTTTTAGAAGTTTACATTTTAAAAATATGTCTATAATCTATGGCATGCATATGTGAAACTATTCTTGTTTCCCTTCTTGAAACCTCCAGAGGAAAAAAAAAAAAAATTTTTTTAAGGACTCCAGAACAATTGTTGAGGGACAGAGAAGTCTCAATGTACAAAGCTTAAATTTTAAAAGAGAAATGTTATTCATGTATATTGAGAGGCCAAATTGATTGACCAGAAGTCAAATTCTGGAGAGAATTGATCCTGCAGGGCAGAGAGGAATCTGTGTAATTAAACTGAAATTTTTTCTTTTTTTTTTTTTTTTACAAAAGATAAGAGCATTTAGTAATATAAGGAAAGATATCTTATTTTGACCACTTGGTTCATTTAATTAAATTGGACTCTCATTTTAAAAATTGCTATTAAGATCGAAAAAGAGGCTGGCGTGGCGGCTCACACCTATAATCCCAGCACTTCAGAAGGCCAAGGTGGGTGGATCACCGGAGGTCAGGAGTTTGAGACCAGCCTGGCCAACATGGTAAAAACCCGTCTCTACTAAAAATACGAAAATTAGCTGGGTGTAGTGACTTGCGCCTGTAATCCCAGCTACTCCGGAGGCTGAGGTACGGGAATTGCCTGAACCCAGGAGGCGGAGGTTGCAGTGTGTTGCGATCATAACACTGCACTCCAGCCTGGGAAACAGAGTGAGACTTGGTCTCAAAACAAACAACAACAACAACAAAAATTGAAAAAGAGTGCTATAGTGATTTGCTTCGTTGGCTATAATATCATCACTCTCTGAAGCCTGATTTTACTAATTTTGGGTGCATTTAGAAGTTGCCTTTAGATCTTAGAACACAGTCCACCAGCTAATTTCAGTATGTAGCAATTAAAATTATGTCATCAAATGAGCTTTGGACTCAGGTGAGTTTTATAATTGTATTATCTTTCAATAAGCATCATTAGCAAGTCCTAGGTTTACCATGAAAGTAGCTATCATGGGAAACTGATGCCTTGCAGATTTCAAAAGGCCATGTCAAAGCAGAGCCCACATCAAGGCAGCCTCTCAGGGCACAAAGAGTTCTAGTCAAAACTGCTAGCTAATGCACCAAAGGCTGAATATGCCCTAATAAAGCTTATTTTTTCTTTTAAAATCATTTAGCCCAATCTTTTTATTATTTCATAACACTGAAGTATTTTCTAAAATTAAAAAAATTCACAAGAGTGCATACAAATAATTTGTGTGTAATTTTACATTGCAATTATTTTTCTAAGTAACAGTGGCTTGAAGTCCTAGAATGAGTGTATAATTAGGCTGCATATAGATGGCCTATTGCCATTTGCAAAATAAAGGACATTTCGATGTAAATGCTTCTGAACCACTCTAACATTGTCAGAGCACCTGCATACACCCACTGTGGGGCTTAGGAGGACATATCAGATAGAGGAAGTGAGGGTTCATGACTTACACATCCCCCTTGCCCTATAGCTTTGAGGACCTTCCAGGGAGGTCCACAGTTATGACCTTAACAATGGGACTCCATCGAGTGGGTGTAGCTGGAGAAGGAAAAAAAGAAAAAAATAGATGTAGGGGCAATGGATAAACAAGACAAAAAGGCTAAGTGGAAAACTGAAAAATAATTGTTTAAGATAATGGTTATGTTTGCATTCTAGATGGTAGTTGCACTTTCAGAAAGGTGGCCTGGCCAAGCTCCCCAGGGAAGCAGTGCTCAAGGCACAAACCTTTGAGGTTCTGCCTACCTTAACTACTTTGTGGCATCATGAGACCAGACACTAGGTGGTGCAATTCATCTCTTCCAGGACCCAAAGAAGCAAGGAGGAAAGGAAAGGAGTAGAAAAGAAATGGAGGAGAGGAAAGGGAAAAAAGTTACAGAGAATGGGGTTGAAGGGAAAGAACATTACAAGAAAAATAAAAGATAGGAGGATAAATGTGAGAAAGAAAGAAAAAGTGCATCACAAAGAAGCCTCAAAAATAGTCACCAGCAAATGATTATGGAAAATGACTTACCCAGCCGCACAAGATACTGTATTGTCAGAAGAATCATGTTTTCCACACTCAGATATTGGCTGCCAGTCAACCCCAGTTGTTCTAAATCTTTGTTTTCCAACTGTGGAATCTTGTAGCAATTCACCAGCAGAGGACTCACAACAATGTCACTAACATTTCCATAGAAATAGGGTAAAGTGCCATAGCCTGTCCCAATAGAAGCAGGTAAATACAGTTCAACATTTCTTTTTATGTTCCAACCACGTACGCTTGCTCAACTAGGATCAAAGATGCTTAACAGAATTCCCTGCCCTCTGAGATACCTACCAAACAAATCATTCAAATATATAAATCCTAGCGAATTTGCTTGGATGCTCCAAAGTCTATCCTTATATTAAATTAAATGAACAGGAAACAAAACACAGTTGGCCTTCTATATCTGTGGGTTCCATGTTCAATCAACCATGGACTGAAATAGGGGGGAAAAGATTCCACAAAGTTCCAAAAAGTGAATCTTGAATTTGCTGTGGGCTGAGTACTATGTTGAATCTATGTGAATGATGTGATGTGTAGGCATTGTAATATTATAAGCAATGGATAGGTGGTTTAAAGTATATGTGAGGATATGCATAGGTTATATGCAAATACTGTGCCATTTTATATGAGGGACTTCAGGATATTCGATTTGATATGGGACAGGGCACGGAATCAATCCCCCAGGGATACTAAAGGACAACTGTACTCATATTATCTCTGTTTTTCATGGAAGGGACATGTTAATATTTTGCTGGAAGACTGATGAGTTTGCAAAACATCTCTGTATCCTTTCTAAAATTGCAATGATAAAATATTTCTGAGGCCAGGGGCAATGGCTCATGCCTGTAATCCCAGCACTTTGGGAGGCTGAGGCAGGCAGAGAGGTATTTGAGACCATCCTGACCAACATGGTGAAACCGTCTCTACTAAAAATACAAAAATTAGCCAGGCGTGGTGGCATGCAAGCCTGTAATCCCAGCTATTCAGGAGGCTGAGGCAGGAGAATCGCTTGAACCTGGGAAGGGGAGGTTGCAGTGAGCGGAGATCATGCCATTGCACTCCAGCCTGGGCAATAGAGTGAGACTTCGTCAAAAAAAAAAAAAAAAAAAAAAAAAAAAAAAAAAAAAAAAAAAAAAAATTCGGATAAAGTCCCTGATCAAGTTTATTTTCAGATAAGAAATCAGAAAACAAACAAATGGCAATGCAGCTGGGCACAGTAGTTCACACCTGTAATCCTAGCACTTTCTGAGTCCGCAGTGGCAGATCACTTGAGGTCAGGAGTTCAAGACCAGCCTGGCCAACATGGCGAAACCTCGTCTCTACTAAAAATACAAAAATTAACCAGGCATGGTGGCACACAGCTACATAGGAGGCTGAGGTAGGAGAATTGCTTGAAACCAGGAGGTGGAGGTTGCAGTGAGCCAAGATTGTGTCACTGCACTCCAGCTTGAGCAACAGAGCGAGATTCCGTCTCAAAAAAAAAAAAAAAAAAACCGGCCAGGTGAGGTGGCTCATGCCTGTAATTCCAGCACTTTGGGAGGCCGAGGTAGGCGGCTTGCTTGAGGTCAGGAGTTTGAGACCAGCCTGGCCAACATGATGAAACCCCGTCTCTACTAAAAATACAACAATAAGTCAAGCATAGTGCTGTATGCTTGTAATCTCAGCTACTCAAGATGCAGGAGAATCCCTTAAACCCAGGGGGTGGAGGCTGCAATGGACCAAGATCGTGTCACTGGACTACAGCCTGAGTGACAGAGTGAGACTGTTTCAAAAAATAAACAACAAAAAACAAAAACAGAAACAAACAACAATAGATGTTTCACTTTCTAAGATTTCTTTCTTTTTTTTCTTTTTTTTTTTTTCCTGACACTATTCACCTGGAGATATTCCTGAGATTTTCTTTTAAAAAAATTTAAGCAAAATTCACTGATTAACAGCAAGATTCTACTAGTTTCAGGTACTTGGAGATCCCTGCTCCTTTTGTAATCTTAGCTATTTTTGTGAGGCTGTCTTCCTAAATGTCAGTAAATAATCTCAAATTGTTTTAGAGTAGATAGGATAAAATGTGTCCAAAATGTACCCTGTTTTGGTGGTTGATAGAGAGGACAGTCCCTCTGTAAGACTTACTAAAAGGCAGGCACGGAAGGACCAAAGGGTCCCCATGTTCTATGCATCTTTCCAAAGCTTAGTGGCACTATGGTAATGTTCAAAAAGAGCTTCCTAATTCATTAAGCATTTAATCCCCCCAATACCTACAGATCTAGGATTAGCAGATAGAGCAACCAGGTAAAGGAAAGGGCTCCAAGTAAAACCATCCAATTAGGCAGGATTAAGCCAACACAAAAAGCAAATAACACCTCATATAAACATGCCCTAAAGATGTAGGCCAGGCACAGTGGCTCATGCCTGTAATCCCAGCACTTTGGGAAGCCGAGGTGGGTGGATCACTTGAGGTCGGGAGTTTGAGACCAGCCTGACCAACATGGAGAAACCCTGTCTCTACTAAAAATACAAAATTAGCTGGACATGGTGGTACATGCTTGTAATCCCAGCTACTCGGGAGGCTGAGACAGGAGAATCGCTTGAACCCAGAAGGTGGAGGTTCTGGTGAGCCAAGATCGTGCCATTGTACTCCAGCCTGGGCAAGAAGAGCAAAACTCCGTCTCAAAAAAAAAAAAAAAAAAAAAAAAAAAAAAAAAAAAAAGTGAGGACCTTAAACACCCTATCTATTTAGTCCTACAGGTAGAATAGGCAATCTCCTTATGGCTTAGGCTAGTCCTAAACCAAGGAGACTCACACGGGTATGAAAAGCACTAAGTTAGTTCTAGAATATAGGGACCCCTAAATGTCTATACCTCCACTTGTAGACCACATGGAAGGACTCAGCCTTCTCAAAGATAATAAGGTTCAGACCTACAATTGTGGGGCCTCTTGGTTCTCTTGAGTAGGCTCAGTCAGCTGGCTTGGCTTGTTTTATTTCTCTGTAGTTTGGCTCTCTGACTGGAATGTCCCTTTCCCCACCTTGTCTACTCTGACCAACCTTCAGGACTCAGCTTAACCAACACCTCTGGGAAGTCTTCTCAGACCCCTCCAGGCAGAGATAAGTTCTCTCTCAGAGCTCTGAGTTCTGGTTGCTCTTGGTTGTGAACCTCTAAGGAGCTCACATGTCACAGTGTGCTGTAATGGTTATTGCCCATATCTTGTAACACTTATTTACCAACCCTAGTGGCTCGTAGGAGGTCAGACTCCCTCACTAAACAATGCTCCTAGAGGGCAAAAGACTTTGCCTCATCCTCAGCTCCTAATCACATGTTTGATACAGCATGAAAGAGCTGACCAATAAAAGCTGAAACAATCAATAGATGGATGAGTACCTTCATGAATATATGAAAAAACACATACAATGAAATGGGAAAACACTCGTAGATTCCAGAAGACATAGTCAACTTGGAATTCCATTGGCTTACCTATCAGAATTACTGGTCTAACTCCTGAGTTACTCAGCAGGTTTTCAGGAACAATTACAGTTTCCCCTGCAGGAATGGGCCGGGGCTGTAAAATTCCAGTTAGTGGGGTCTGTGGAACTGGGGCAGATAAAGGGGACTCTGGAAAGAAAAAAGTTTGACAAGAAACATGTCATGTGAAAACTAAATGAAAAACAATAGAAAGCAATATAATTTTAATACTTTTAATGGAGAAGTATTAAAACCTAATGGTTTGTTATATTTTTTATTATGTTTATTACACAAGTGATAAGTTGAAAAAACAAAGGGAGAAAAAAATATTAACCATAATCATATCATGTGGCTATAACTACTATTTAGCATTTTGGTGGTTTTCCTTCCAGTTGTTTTTGTCCATATGTAATCTTCTGGATCCTGTTTGTTATTTTAGCTTTCCCCCCAAGATTATCAAAGGCATATATCCATTCATTACATACATTTTGAAAGGTATAGAGAAATGTGAAGAAGGATAAACTCATCATTAACCAGTACCATCTATAAGCAACCATAGTGACAGATTGGCATAATTATTTGTGTATGTAAGATGTCTATGTTCTCTTTAAAACTATTTATTTAGGGCTGGGCGCGGTGGCTCAAGCCTATAATCCCAGCACTTTGGGAGGCCGAGGCAGGTGGATCACGAGGTCAAGAGATCGAGACCATCCTGGCCAACATAGTGAAATCCCGTCTCTACTAAAAATACAAAAAATTGCCGGGCGTGGTGGCTCAAGCCTGTAATCCCAGCACTTTGGGAGGCTGAGGCGGGTAGATCACGAGGTCAAGAGATCGAGACCATCCTGGTCAACATGGTGAAACTCCGTCTCTACTAAAAATACAAAAAATTAGCTGGGCATGGTGGCGCATGCCTGTAATCCCAGCTACTCAGGAGGCTGAGGCAGGAGAATTGCCTGAACCCAGGAGGCGGAGGTTGTGGTGAGCCGAGATCGCGCCATTGCACTCCAGCCCAGGTAACAAGAGCGAAACTCCGTCTCAAAAAAAAAAAAAAAAAACTAACAACTATTTATTTAAAAAACTTAAACATTTAAATAACTCATTTATGTCTTAGAACCAGTATATTTACAATTGTCTGTGGTTGGTATAGCAAGGTAGACAAATGTTTGAACATTTAACTGTGAATGTCGAATGGCTACAGTTTAGGTATTTTGAAAGAGAACCAGTTGGTTTTGGTTTTTCAGGTTTCTAGCCACAGACTGAACCATCCAGGTTAGAAATAATAAGCATGGGTCACATAAAGAACCATATAACAGGAGGGAAAATCTAACACCATTGCCAGCAAAACAAGTCCATATATATGCCCTATGATGGTGGGTTGGTAGCATTGTGTCCTGTGTAATGAAGGGCTTTGTAATGCTATGGGTTAAAAACAAAGCCAAAGGTTGCATTCAGATCAGTTGTAATGATCTTGTGCATTGTAGGGAAGGTAAATGTGATCAGAACAAAACATTAGCTACTATCAATATTCTCACATAATTCATCTTCAAGAATTCAGGGAAAGAATAGAAGTAGACTTTGGGAGGCCGAGGCGGGTGGATCACGAGTTCAAGAGATCGAGACCATCCTGGTCAACATGGTGAAACCCCGTCTCTACTAAAATACAAAAAATTAGCTGGGCATGGTGGCACATGCCTGTAATCCCAGCTACTCAGGAGGCTGAGGCAGGAGAATTGCCTGAACCCGGGAGGCGGAGGTTGTGGTGGGCCGAGATTGCGCCATTGCACTCCAGCCTGGGTAACAAGAGCGAAACTCCGTCTCAAAAAAAAAAAAAAAAAAAAAAAAATAGAAGTAGAAGATATCTCTGCTTATTAAAAACACACTTAAAATCCATCTTCTGTTAAGATCTTACCCGTTCTTGAAAGAGGGCGAACTGTAGGGACAGGTACAACTAAGCCAGGTTGGGGGAGAGGTGACCCAGGATACCATCCCCGGTGTCGTTTCTTTGGTGGCCCAGAAATAAACATGGTAGCTAAAGACAAACAAAAAATAAAAATTAAGAAAGAGATATTCTTGTTCACAGCCATGTGGGGGAAAGGAGAGAATGCCAAAGTAACATAGAACTTTGAACTTGACTATGCTCCGAAAGTCTTAAATCACTCTTCTACAGGTAAAGTTTTAAAAAAAAGCCGTATTAGTAACCTAACATTACAATAACCGCCACTTAACATCTGTATGTTGTTTTACGATTCACAAGTTTATGTAGCTTATTTCATTTGATTCTACCCACACCCTTGTGGGGTTGTAGCACGAGCATTATTGTTACACCCTTCTTGTAAAAGGAGAAAGGAAAGCTCAGATTTGTCTGGGATCACACAACAGAGAAGAACTTTGAATCCTGTACTTTAGTCAGCTAAACCCAAGGTTTTTCAAGACACTTCCTTATACACTTGTCTTAACATTATTTCCCAGTTAGGTCATCCATATAGAATCCCAAGATATTTACTCATTACTGTTCACACCAATTACAAACTTTCAAAACATTGTATGACAAACTGAGAAAACACTCTAGAGGGTGTTGCCATATCATTCATTACAAAATCTGGAGTACTTCTAACCACAGTTAAGTGTACTATTACAAAACTCTACAACAGGTATTGTACCTTGGTCTCCTGATGCATAGCTGGGTCTTGGCGACAAAGAGTAATTCCCTGGGTGGGCTGGAGTGGAGCTGGATGCACTGCCCTTCCCTCCATGGCTACTGTTTCCATTAGCAGCATCTGTAGAACACAAGGAGAAGAGTACTCAGTGCTCTGGGATGCTGCAACCATCTGATAGACCTCACACTCTAGGATTCCAAGAAACCTCATGGATAGGACTCAGTCCAGTTACGTAAAACCAACTGCAACTGTCAGAGGAGGACCTTCATTAAAATTAAATGTCACCTAGAAACAATTTCCTAGGACTCCAAGAGACCTTCTGGAATCATTTTCAATGAAGTCTTTGGAGATGATGGATGGAAGGAAGAGATAAAAAATTCTTATGTTTATGTTCTTAACTTTGTGTCATGGAAAGTTTCAAACAAAGTAGAGAGAATAGGATAATGAACATCTACATAACTACCACCCAATTTCAACGTTTCCCAACACATATAGCCCATCTTTCTTTATCAATACCCTTACCACCCTTATCTCTGTCCCCTCCACATAAACACATGTATGCTGTGAATTATTTTGAAGCAAACTCATATTATTTTGTACATAAATACTTTTTATTTATGTTTGCTTCTTTATTTCCTGTCTTGTTTTTTTTTTTTGGAGACAAGGTCTCACTGTCACCCAGGCTAGAGTGTAGTGACAGGATCAGAGCTCACTGCAGCTTTGAACTCCAAGGCTAGAATGATCCTCTTGCTTCAGCCTCTCAAGTAGGTGGGACTATAGGAGCATGCCATACCCGGCTAATTTTTAAATTTTTGTTTTGTTTTGTTTTTTTTAGAGACAGAGTCTTGCTATATTGTCCAGACTAGTCTCAAACTCCTAGCCTCAAGCGATCCTTCCACCTTGGCTTCCCACAGTGTTGGGATTACAGGTGTGAGCCACCACACTGGTCTTATGTATGAGTTTATAAAAGAATAAGACTCTTTTAAAAATGAATTCTTTTCTTCTTGGTTTTTTTTTTTTGTTTTTGTTTTTTGAGATGGAGTCTCTGTCACCCAGGCTGGAGTGCAGTCAGTCATGCAATCTCAGCTCACTGCAACCTCGGTCTCCTGTTTTCAAGCAATTCTTCTGTCTCAGCCAGAGTAGCTGGGACTACGGGCACATGCTGCCATGCCTGGCTAATTTTTTGTATTTTAGTAGGGACGGGGTTTCACAGTGTTGCTCAGGCTGGTGGCGAACTCCTAACCTCAGGCAATCACTCCACTTCAGCCTCCCAAAGTGGCGGGAATACAGGCATAAGCCACCATGACCGGCCTTATTTCTTCTTAAGACAGGGTCTCACTCCAATACCCAGACCAGAGTGTAGTGGTGCAACTAAAGCTCACTGCATTCTTGACTTTTGGGCTCAGGTGGTCCTTCCACCTCAGCCTGCCAAGTAGCTCGGACTACAGGCATGTGTCACCATGCCTGGCTAATTTTTGTAATTTTTAAAACCCTGTAGAGACAAGGTTTTGTCATGTTGCCCAGGCTGGTCTTGAACTTCTGGGTTCAAGTGATCCACCTGCCTCGGCCTCCCAAAGTGCTGAAATTACAGGCATGAGTTACCACACACAGCCAATAATTTCTTACTATCATAAAATATCCCGCTGGTATTCAAAATTTTCCCCAACTATCTTTTAATTACCTTTAAAAAATTACTTTTGTTTTTACAGTTGGCTTGTTCAAATTGGAATTCGAACAAGATGGACATACTGAATTTAGTGGGTATGAACCTGAAATCTCTTTTAATCTATAAGATGCCCTTCCTTTTCTTTCTTTCTTACAATTAATTTGCTGAAAACCTAGCAGAATTTTCCATTTTGTAGATTTTGTTGATTATATTCCTGTAGTGTCACTTATTCTCGTCCTCTGTATTTCTAATAAACTAATTGTTAGATACAGAGGTTTGATCAAATTCAGATTCTTTTTTTAGGCAAGAGTATCTCATAAGTACTGTGGTATACAGTACTTTGCATCAGGAGGCACATAAGCCAGTTTTCTCTCTTCTTGTGATATTAAGATTGATTGGCATTATAAAGTTGTTCAGCCTTTCATCTGATGGTATTAGTAACCATGATAATTACTGATCTATCATGTCATTGATTTTTTTAATGCTGTAAAAACTTGATTCCAGGCCGGGCATGGTGGCTCATGCCTGTAATCCTAGCACTTTGGGAGGCTGAGGTGGGTGGATCACCTGAGGTCAGGAGTTCGAGACCAGCCTGGCCATCATGGTGAAACCCCATCTTTAAAAAAACAAAAAACAAAACAAAAAAAACCTTGATTCCACTGTTCAAAGTCTGTAATCCAACCAGAAGGTAGATCCTGCAAGAAATGTTGGACCAGAGTAAGAACAGAAGTGGGTTGTGTAAATTATGATACCTAACTCTTGAAAAGTTTCCAAAAATGGCCAGGCCCAGTGACTCACACCTATAATCCCAGCAATTTGGGAAGCTGAGGCAGTAGAGCCCCAGAGTTCGGGACCAGCTTGGGCAACATAGGGAGACCCTGTCTCTACAAATAACTAAAAAAGAAAAGTTTCCAAAAATGACAGGCTCTCTTTATGCTCATTCTTCTACCTCTATTAATCCCAGCACTTTGGGTGACCAAGGCTGGCTGATCACTTGACATCAGGAGTTTGAGTCCAGCTTAGGCAACATGGTGAAACACTCTTTACAAAAAAAAAAAAAAAAAATGCAAAAATTAGCTAGGCATGGTGGCATGTGCCTACAGTCCCAGCTACTTGGGAGGCTGAGGTGGGAGGATGGCTTGAGCCTGCAGTGTGCTGAGATCACACCAGTGTAACTCCAGGCTGGGTGACAGAGTGAGACCCTGTTTCAGAAAAAGAAACACACACACATACACATACACATACAGACACACACTAAACTAAACTTTTCTAGGATTCTTTTTTTTTTTTTTTTTTTTGAGACAGAGTCTTACTCTGTCATCCAGGCTGGAATGCAGTAGCATGATCTCAGCTCACTGAGACCTCTGCATCCTGGGTTCAAGCAATTCTCCTGTCTCAGCCTCCCAAGTAGGTGGGATTACAGGTGCCCACCATCATGCCTGGCTAATTTAGACATGGGGTTTCACTATGTTGGCCAGACTGGTCTCAAACTCCTAACCTCATGATCTGCCCACCTCGGCCTCCCAAAGTACTGAGATTACAGGTGTGAGCCACTGTACCCATCCTAATCTTTATTTTTTTTTTAGACAGTCTTGCTCTGTCACCCAGGCTGAAATGCAGTGGAACACACATGGCTCACTGCAGCCTTGACTTCCCAGGCTCAAGCCTTCCTCCCACCTCAGCCTCCCGAGCAGCTGGGACCACAGGGGCACACAACCACACCCAGCTAATTTTTTTATTTTTTGTAGAGACAATGTCTCACTTTGTAACCTGGGCTGGTCTTGAACTCTTGGCCTCAAATGATCCTCCTGCCTTGGCCTCCCAAAGTGATGGGATTACAGGTGTGAGCCACTGTGCCCAGATGATCCTGTCTTTTGTTCACAGCTTGCCTCAGCCTACATCTTTCCTTGGCTTATACTATTTACCCTGATGAATTTAACTATATGTTGGTGACTCGACTCTACACCATCAGTCCTGAATTCTCCCTATGATAAATTAAATGGCTGTTGAACAGCTCTACATGGACGTCTTATGGGAATCTTAAACTCAGCATTTCCAAAATTGAACTCTAATCTCCCACTGGAGAACCTGATCTTCCTTCTGTATCCCTGTCTCAAGATGATGGCATCACCATTAGCCCAGAAGGATGAATGTCAACTGAGACCCCTTCTTCTCCTTGAGGCTCACATTAATCAGTTAATTCCTGCTGGTTTCACTTCCTGAGTAGTTCTCTAACTTGTCCTCTCCTCTGCAACCTATTACCACTCTAGCCAAGGACATCATCATTTCTCACTGAGACGACTGAAATGACCTGCAACTAGTTTTCCCATTTCGTCTTCTTACACATTGAAGCAAAAATTATCTAGCTCAAGTTCAAATCAAACCATGCCATTTCTTTGCTCTGTAAGTTATATAGTAAAATCCACATTTTTTAGCCTGGCTGCCTATAATTTTCCCTTAACCATCACTTACTCACCTCCTTGCATACATCATCTTGCTTTTCCCCTTTCCCTTTTTTCCCTTTTTCCCATCATTTCTGCTGTTCCCTGAAACTGAATTGCATTTCCTATCCTCCTTTGTACAGTGAAGATCTCCTTATTGTCAAAGACCAAGCTCCTCCAAGAACTCATTCTTAATTACTCCTACAATGTTGGATTAAAACCCTTTGCTCCGTGTTCTTCTGTACATTGCCGTATGTGCTACTGCACACTGAAAATATCTTGTCAGAGGTCTATCTCCCTAGATTACAAGGAAATTAGAGGTCACGGATTTAACCTTATTTATCATTGTATTTCCAGTTCCTAGTCATAGCAGGTGCCCAAGAAATATCTGTTGAATGGAAACAAATTGCTGTGTCACCTCCAAGTACCAAGTGTCATTCCACAACTCTTTTGGTTGGAATGTAGAGAACACAAAGCTTCATATACTAGTACATTATTACAGACAGCCCCACTTCTCTCTTCAACTGGCAGGGAGAGGCAGCTTCTGTTTTCTTCTATCATTTGTCAATTAAATGTCACACAACTCTTTTATGGACCATGTATTTACCAAAGGAATATAAGTGAGGGAAACATCACCTGCAGCAAAAGTCTTCCCTACAACATGCAAAGATAAAGCCAGTGGTTTCACAATATTCTTATTCCGGGTCAGGTCCTGAGCTCCACTTAAATTGATTGCAGAAATAGCTGGACTGAGAATCGGTGAATCTTTAAAATGAAAGAGTTTGTTTAAATTAGCAACTATTTATATATGCAGGAAGGATGTTAATTCAACAAGAGTTGCGAGAAAGCAGATTATTGAATTTCAGTCCTTTCCTTGAACTATTCTGACATTTTTAAAAGTTCATTTCTACACTTAGATCTCACCAAAAAAAAAAAAAGTTCATTTCTAGGTATACTGGTTTTATTATTTTTACTTATTTAATAACACTCACTCACTAGAAGTTACTATTTGA